CCAGACCACTTCCTTAACAGCTCGTGCTTGAGCCCTTTGAAGGTGTATTTGGGGCTGCTGCACCCAATCCAATTGCCTCAGAGCTTTTCATCAACCTCAGTCTCTTACATGATTCAACAAACATTCTGCAAAACATAAAATACCAAAAACATGATTAATATGCACAAAACTTGATTAGCAAACCAAACTAAATCTTAGGGGGTGACAAACAGGTCGATCCGCTTTTCGGCTCGTGGCCTCGGCTCATCTTGACCATGTGCAGTTCGGGCTCATTTTGAAACAAGCCATGGGCTGAGCCGAACCCATTTTTTGTATCACGAACCAGCTCGTTTGCACTCGGGAACTAGCACTTTTTTTGCACTTTTTTTGATTTAGTTATATTTTTATTTTGATTTTTACTTATTTTTGGACTTATTCTACTAATTTTGTTAAAAAATAAATTGAAAAGATGCCGTCCGTGGTCGGCTCGGCTCGGCTAGGCTCAAGCTAGGCTTATCAATATGGTTGGGCCGTGCTCAGATGTTCAAGTGTTGAGCTGGCTCAATTCGAGTCATTGCCAGGCATACTAACACTACAAAATCACAAGATCGGTTTTTCCTCGTCCTATATTTCCATTAGAGTAATCACCAAAAAAGTTCCATCAACGATGTTGATGGTATTCATAAGTTCGCAGGTAAATTTGGGAACTTACTTCCAAGGGACATCTCCAATTAGCATCCAGTCTCCATCTTTGTCCTCATAAGTTGGCACATACTCTTCACCATTTGCAGAGTCCACGAGCTTCTTCTCATTCAACACATTACCTAGCCCAGATTCAATTTAATCATCATTAATACTTTAATTATGAGAAAAAATAAATATGACTTAGAATCAATTAAATATGGTGCTTACATATGGTTAAGCACGTAAACATATCTCCCATTGCAGTCAACAAATCCTGGTAGCTACTGTATATTTCCAGATCAATTTTCCTTAAATATGGAGCCCCATCTACGCCTACTTTCACGTATTTGCAACTTTTTATCAAGTTCTTCCTGCATGATCTCACTGGAGGCCATCCCACAACCTGAGCCCTACAATAAAAATGACACTTTAGTGACAAAATAACAATGTTTTTACAACTCTAAAGACGCATTTTTACTAAACAAGACTAAACAGTACGTGGAACTAAACTTTAATATTGTGACGTTTGATATGACTTTTACTTTTTATTTTTATTTCATATAAAAATAAGCACGAAATTAACCAAATGATCCAAAACAACTTTTGACTTTTGAAAAGTCCTGTCAAACGGGTTCAAAATGAACTTATCGAGCTTTACATAGATTCATGAACGTAGAATGCTAGTGTAAGTGTTGAGTGTAGCTCACAATTTGCATCTAGATGCACACTTGAATATGCTGTAACCAGTACTTGATTTAGATAAAAATCAGATTTTTAATAGATTTTAATAAAAGTTTATATGTGTAATTAAAAAGTTAATAAAAGCTATGGATTTGAAAATGAATTCGAGAAAAAAAAATTAGAAAAATGGGGCATATTTTTTTAAGTGATATCCGAGAAGTCCTCATTTACGTGTTGAGTAAGTGAACCACCATTTAGCATTGACTACATCGTCCTTAACCAAAATTGTCATTTTTTTCTTAGTTTTTACGATATAGCAATTGAACTCTTCTTCTCAATAAATTTGGAATTAACGATATGAAACGAATCTTCATTTCTTCCATGAAATTTCACGATAGATATGAGAAAAATAATGTGCCATCAGATAAATTACATACTTGGAAGGAGGTTGTGATTCAACTTTGGCATCGTTCGCCAGCGTCAAATCTACGTCGGAAAATCCACGCTTGACACCAGACTTCTGAACTAGCGCATCGCCCGGCAAACCCAAAGAGAGCTCCGTTTTCAGGTCGCCGGATGTTTCAGATTCTGGCAACTCTTTTGATTTTACCGTCGACATGTTTACTGTCGTTCTAAATCAGCAATCGGCAGTCTATAAAGATTAGAGAAAATTGTGACCGTTGAAGTGAAAACATTACATGAATGCGTGTTTATATATAAAGAAGAGAACGGGACGGCTGAAATTCTTATTGACCATTCATGTTCCGACACGTGCACAAGCCTAAGCCGCTTATCTTCGTCCATGTCGATGCGAGTTCATGATGGAATGCGTGTGTTTGTGATTTTTGTAGGGATTTCGAGATTTGGGTCCCGCCAGTATTGTTCGTATGTTTCGGTGGGGCTTTAATTGGGTGCTTGTGGATTATTTTGACCAACGTCCCTCCCTACAAACATCATTCATTGCATGTCTTTCCTTCAAATGTTTGACTTTTCTTACTATTGAAACTTTGACTGTGGGTGTAGTGTTTGAATCTTTTTTTTTCTAATAAAAATGTATGTTTACATAGATTTAACGAAGAAAATGTATGATTAAAAAAATAAAAAAAATGTTTGAATTTTTGTGTAATATTATTTTATTAAAAAGTACGTGTTTAAAAATAAGAAAAAAAAAGTATTAAAAGAATGAGAGACATACGAAGACTAAATCCACCGCGCGGGAATCATGGCACAATTTAAAATGAGAAATGATAAGTGTACACTCCTGGTTTACACTCACTTTTGCACACCTCTCACATATTGGATTCCACTATTATTTTATTTATAGCGGGATCCACCCATGTTATAAGAGGAGTGTCAACAATGCTGTACAACAGAATGTACATGTAGCATCTCTCATTTAAAATTTTGAGGTAAAAAGCATTGTTCTAAAAAACGCGAAAATGCGCCGCCTAGGCGCGCCTAGGTGCGACCGCGACCAAAACACGTCGAATTCGGGAAATGCGGGAAAAATGGGTTTTCCAACTAAAAGGCGCGCCTAATGCGCGACTAGGCGTGCCTAATGCGCGACTAGGCGTGCATTAGACGCGCATTAGTCCGTCTAATCCCTTTTTT